CCCGCTTCCCCATCTATTATTCATTTTACCCATTTTTCTTTTTTCGTCCCTTGGCTGACGAGAGGGCATACCCCTCTACCGGCCCGCCGGTCCCCCCGGGATCGGAATGAAATAATGCTTATGTTGTTGTTTGTTGTTCGTTATTTTACTGGTGGTAGTGTCCAGGGTCACTGATGAGGAGTGGAACTCTCCGAAACTAGTTTGGCTCACAGACACACACCAGTGAAAGAATAGACCATTCCAAGCTTTTACTTGTTGTTAAACAAAGGTTTAAACAACTCTATTTATTCAACTATGTGCAAGCTGCCCAGTGTCGGCTAACAATACCAAGAATTAAATTGTGGCGAAATCTTACAAGTTCTTCAAATACCTATAGAATGATATGTTTCTTTTTTGTGAGTGCAAAACACTTAAATACACCAGTTCGATTTCCCATGAAATGTTTGAGTTAAAAGTCTGCACAGTGCGCTATCAGCAAATATTATGTATAATCAAGACTGTTGCGCTATGCTATGATTTAAAAAACAAGCTAACTAATACGTTTCTCAAAGTTTGAGAGAGAAAAGAACGATCTTTCTTTTTTTTCACTGAAGAATGAACTCGTACCACTTGCTCTGAAATATGTACAATATCTTCACTTTACAATACGTTTGTTTTTTGGTAAGCGTAAAGCTAAACAAGTGTCTGTGCTGTGCTCAGTACGAGTATCGAAACCTAGTTTTTAACGTTATAAGCCTACCACTCGGAGCCTAACGTTATGTTTTTCAAAAACCCGAAAAAAATTTATCAATGATTTTTATTATAAGGTTTAGAACACTAAACTATTAATGAAATATTTGTTCCCCCATCCCCCAATGTGTTGAATAAAACTCAGAATATATATATATATATATATATATGTTTAGTGACTTTAGCCTTTGGAAAGATACTGTTTTTACCTTCTTCCATTGAGATATTTATATATATTGCAACAAAGAATGCAATATTTCTTTTTTGAGCCTAGGTTTGGTATACTGAAAGTCCAAGAGAGTTTCATTGATCAATGTGCTGTGTTTACGATAACGACTGAAACCACGTGATCAGTATCACCGTAGAGAAAGTAGGGGAAAAAATGCTTTTTGGAGGGGGACATTTTATTATTCTCACCAACAGACTTGATAAGACTGATACTCCCTTCGGGCATCGTCATGTGAATTTTTTTTTGTTATATAAGTTGTAAATGTTGTCAGGGTAGCATCCTCCTCCTCCTCCTCCTACAGATCGATGGCTGGGGCTCACTCACCACAGGAGCTAGCTGCAACAATTGCGCGGTATGTAATTCGTGGCCGCGCTCGAGAAGATTACCTCGCATGCTTTCACAACCGTGCATCCAGTAAGGTAGAGCACTAGACGGAGAGAGCATCTCAGAAGGAAGAGAGGAATTATCGAAACGTTTCTATGTCTTAGAAAGAGGAAATCGTTCTAAGAAACAAACGTTCCATCTGATCGGTCTGTTCCACAGTCTCCTTGTGATCGTTAAAGATTCGCCCAGCTTATGTTGAGTGAATTTTTGTATATAAAAGACTATAAGTGAAACTGAATACTCGCTTTACAGTTTCGAACTTCCTTCTTTTTGTATATTTGAAGTATCATATCGATTTTAATAGCCAGGTGAGTAGGTTGTGCAAAAAAGGCAACTTTAAAGAACAACAACAACAAAAAAGTGACGTGATTTAATAGTTACTTCTGAATAGTTTTGAAAACCTAGCGGTTAAAACAACTACGTAGTAGAAAAGTGCGCTTGGAGACGTGCCAATTTCAAGGTGTGTATATATTTTTTGTATATTTACTTTTTAAAGCACTGCGAGACATATGTATCTGTATTTATAGTTATTATCTCTATTAATCTTCAATGCTTATTACGTTGTTCTCAGCTTTTCAACTAGACAACCTCAATAAATCAAACTTCTTTACTCTGAAAGAACGGATAGAATCCACATAAAGTTTTCTCCTACACTCCAATATATATAAAGTTGCTATTCGTAACATTTCTAGCGTTGAATGAGATGAGCTATAATTTCCAGTTGGTTTTGTTATCCAATAGAAGTGAGCTGTAGTTTCCAGTTGGTCTTGTTATCCAATAGAGGTAAGCTGTAGTTTCCAGTTGGTCTTGTTATCCATTGTTATCCAATAGAGGTGAGCTGTAGTTTCCAGTTGGTCTTGTTATCCATTGTTATCCAATAGAGGTAAGCTGTAGTTTCCAGTTGGTCTTGTTATCCAATAGAGGTAAGCTGTAGTTTCCATTTGGTCTTGTTATCCAATAGAGGTAAGCTGTAGTTTCCAGTTGGTCTTGTTATCCATTGTTATCCAATAGAGGTGAGCCGTAGTTTCCAGTTAGTCTTGTTATCCATTAGAGGTAAGCTGTAGTTTTCAGTTGATTTTGTTATTCATTGTTATCGAATAGAGGTGAGCTATAGTTTCCAGTTGGTATTGTTATCCAATAGAGGTGAGCTGTAGTTTCCAGTTGGTCTTGTTATTCATTGTTATCCAATAGAGGTGAGCTGTAGTTTTCAGTTAGTCTTATTATCCAATAGAGGTGCGCTGTAGTTTCCAGTTGGTCTTGTTATTCATTGTTATCCAATAGAGGTGAGCTGTAGTTTCCAGTTGGTCTAGTTATTCATTGTTATCTATTATGAACGAATATGTTTCATGTTACAGCTAACTTTCGATGTTTTAATTTTTGTTTGTTTGTTGTTTTAATGCAAAGCTACACAATATTCGCTCTGTTCACCATGAGAAATAGAACCTCGGATTTTAGCGTTGTAAGTTCATAAACTTACCTCATATACACTGGGTGATTTGATGTTTTGTAAACTACTAGGTGTTATACTTTTCATATTTTACCCAGTTTTATTTAATTATAATTTTATTTAAATTTAATTTAATTTTGTTTCAGACTGCCAACTTCGTTACTCCAAAGGTCTAACTAAGTAAGTCCTACTGAGAACACAGCCTGCGGGTTAAGTAAAGAAGATTAAAGTACCAGTATTAATCTTTCTGAGCGAGAAGATTGTCTTCACTGCAATGCTGAGAAAATTCCTAATGCCCTTGGCAACGAAATTTATTTTATTCGGCCTTTTGTCGAACTATGAAAAAAAAGAAAAAAATTGTTTACTTAACGGATGCTAACTTATGAGTATCATAAGATGCATATAACAACACACTAGTTTGTTGACGAAAACCAAAGATATTTAGCTAAATATGATCGTTAAGAGTCTCAACACAGTATGGTATTTTACACTTACAAAAAGCTCTAATGGGATATAAAACACTGCGTATGAAATAAATGAATGCTTAACAATGCTTAGAGCACATATACGTGAGTTTTGAATTTTAATGTGAAGTGCTTACTGGATTGCACTTTCTTTTCAATAACCATACATTTAAAACTATTATCTAGAACCATTGTTTTCAAACTTTTCAGGTTCCCGTACTACTTTCTGTTTAAATGGTTTTTAAAGTACAAACCCAGGACTAACCTAAAGAAAAAGGAAAAACTAGTAGCAAAAAGTTAATACTTTTAACACTTACTCATTAGTGGAAAGAATGTGATCGTATTTTCTGGAACACTTGAAGAACGTGATGCTCTTTTTGTCAATTTGAAAGGAAGAAAGCTTTGTTTGTTTGTTTTCGGTAAAACATAAGGCTACACAGTGGACTATCCGTGCTCTGCTCATCGCAAGTATCGAATCCCTAATTTTTAGCAATATAAACCTACTGACTTAATGGGGAAAGAAAAGGCAAGTCTAGAAGTGAAGAAGTGAAAGGAATAGGGTGTACATGTACGCGGAAAGCTTACTTTGTGTTTATTACAATTTTGTAGATTTTACATTAATTTTTTCACAGTTTGAGAATCACTGATGTAGAAGTTTATTTTATTTCCTACATTCCGTCATTTCTCTAGTTTCCTACAGTTTCAATAGTTTACTGTTTTCTGTATTTCCTTAATCTATATACTGCAATTTTTCGATTTCTTATGTTCTATTATTTCTATGGTTTTCCTAATTATCTGAAATCAGTAACTTTTCTTTATTTATTTATTTTACCACTTCCTTATATTTTGGTATTTTCCTAGGACACTTCACAGCTCTCTAAAAATTATTTAAAGAATACAAAAACTAGCAAGATTCAGGCTAATTAGTTCAAATGTGCATCCGTGAGTTTTCCTCTTTCTCATTTTTACGCTGCGATGGGTCCTCACAATATAAAAACAACAGTTGAATGGTTCTTTCACATTTTCTTTTTATACATTGGTTGTTTAGGATAGTTATCTTCTTAAAAAGATTCTTATGTATTTTAGTTTGAGTCTTCTTTAATTTCTCTTCTAAATGTTGTATAGTTGAAGTACTGAGAGACAGTTGGAGCAAAAGTTTTATTTTTAAAATTTTGCTCTATACATTTTGTTTAGTGGTTAGTGATTAGAAGGTGGTGCCATCTAACAAATAATACGGGAATTATTATCCTATTCTCATTTGGCGGGTGTAGCTGGGAGTCAGTTAGAAACAACTATTTGATTTTTAAAGGTGTACTCTGCATATTTTGTTCAGAGTTTAACGTCTAGCAGGGGACATCACGTAGCTATCAACTAATTCACACTTGAGCAATGAACAACTTATTCGTAGAACTGAAAGATCTCTTTTATAACTTTATTCTTTCTTTCAAATATTTTTTATGTAAAATTGGTAATAAATTGTTGAGCATGTTATATATATCAGAAAATCGTTTGTCACTAAAAGCGGTAAATAAAATTGACAAAGTATAAAACTTCATCTGAAAGAACAAAATCCGCAGCTAATATCATTTGATAACGTTTTTCTTTGATTGGATAAAGCTGACTGAACCTGAATTTATAGGTGCAATTGTGTTGCTGATTAGAATGGCTTTTTACACAGCTTTTTGAGGTATGTGAACATTAATATAAACTACTAATAAATGCTAAATATTTATAAATAGCTTATGATGGCGGACGAAAACAAAGACAAGTTAAAGACAGAAACAAAGAGCTCCTCTAATGGTCAGTCTCCTCAACAAGGAACCGGCGAAGGATCTGACACGGGGAATGCAGAATCTATCTTGATGACCAAAGCTCCAGAGGATGACCTTCCTGAAAGAGGAAACTGGGTTGGCAAGTTGGACTTCATCATGTCTTGTGTTGGTTATGCAATTGGGCTCGGTAACGTTTGGAGATTTCCATACTTATGTTACAAAAATGGCGGAGGTAAGAAAGATCATCCATTATATTCTACTTTGATAATATGTAAAAGACTAGTAGAAATATATTTCTTAGGTTAACTATAAACTTTTATGTTCACAAAAGGGTTTTTGTTTTAAATTACTTCTCGTTTAAAATGAATTCGTAAATTTGAAAAGCAACTAATTTTTACAAACTGTTTATGTACAATTTGTATTCGTTAAAATATTTTTATTTCGACACCTTTAGTAATTAAAAATAATCATTAATATATAAAAATTATTTTGAAAAACACACACAGACCGAGTTTACTCGTGGCTTGCACAAACTAACGCTAAAACTACAATTTTAGATTAAATCAATCAGAAAGCTAATTCACTCAAAACTCTTCGGATCTCTTCACACACAGAGATAGATTAAACAAAAGTCTTTCATATATATATTTTTCTTTCGTTGAAGATCTAACAAACACAATTACGTTCAACTCTAAGATGTTATTGATGCGAAATATCACGTTTCGATGCTCAGAGAGTCTGCAATTGTCATATGAGCAAATCTATCATCAAGATGGTATCGTTTGCATGTAGTCAACCAGTTTTAGATATTAGCTTTGTAAATTGATTGTTACAAACAGACACTTTTCAGTCAGTGTGAATAATGATGAACAACTGCGATTTCCCGGGAATTACTATCATTAAGCCCGCGCGCAGTCACTCGGCCAAATGTGTGTGGAAATGCTTTGTCGGCTTCGGTACTTCCTGATGTGCTACGAACGGAATGTGTGATATTTGCTGGTTTAAATTAATGTTGATGTTCACTGCTAAAAGCTATTACGACGCTGTACATTGTCTCTTGCTAGATAAGCTAGCCGAACATGCCATTTTCAGTGCACAGCAAATACTTGTGAACCACGAGGTATCGTGTTCTTTCTTAATTAACGTTACGGAGAACCTGTATGTGTGATCTAAGTTTAAAAGATTTTTTTCCTAGTTTTATACAAATGCCTATGATCACTAGGTATCGTCTTCTTTCTTAATTAATGTTGCGGAGAACCTATATGTGTGATCTAAGTTTAAAAGATTTTTTTCCTAGTTTTATACAAATGCCTATGATCACTAGGTATCGTCTTCTTTCTTAATTAACGTTACGGAAAACCTGCATGTGTGATCTAAGTTTAAAGTATTTTTTCCCTAGTTTTATAGAAATGCATATGATCACTAGGTATCGTCTTCTTTCTTAATTAACGTTACGGAGAACCTGTATGTGTGATCTAAGTTTAAAATATTTTTTCCCTAGTTTTATAGAAATGCATATGATCACTAGGTATCGTCTTCTTTCTTAATTAACGTTACGGAGAACCTGTATGTGTGATCTAAGTTTAAAATATTTTTTCCCTAGTTTTATACAAATGCCTATAATCGGTTATGGAAAAAATAAACAGCATTATTTTAAGACGTTTGCATGTATTTAAGATGGAAAATGTTGTTTGTTGTTAAGCACGGGCTAGGAAGACATTTTCCCCTTTAAATGGGTAAGATTGAATATTCTAAGTTAGATTATCGTGTTTCATATTGGCCGCTGTATAAGTGGGGGCAATTTCACTTTTTTTTTTTGCATGCAGGACTGCTGTAGGTTGACGTATACGAATCTAAAAAATGACCCTAGAAATAGCACCTTCACCTCCCCCCTTACCTTAATTATAGACTTACAATGCTAATATTCAGAGTTCGACTTCCCGCGGTGGACAGAGTGCAGATAACCCATTAAGCTTTTCATTGAAAAAACAACAACATTTTCATAGCAGGAAGTTGTTCGTAGTTGTTGTATTTTGTAAAGATGAATGATTATCTTATTATCTAGTGTCCTACAAAGTGCCCTTTCAGCTGTTGGGGCGTTATAACGTGACGGTCAATCCCATTATTCGTAGGTAAAAGAGTAGCCGAAGAGTTGGTGGTGGGTGATGTTGACTATCTACCTTCCAGCTAGTCTTTCACTGCTAAATTAGAGCTGTCGTGTAGCTTTGCGCGAATTTTATAATAACCCAATCCTACAAAGTAGGGACTCCCCCCAGAAAGTTGAAAATCTGGATGCTATGAGATGCATTTTCAGCCTTTAGCGAGACAAAATGTCTGTTAGGAAGCTTGGAAACATTAATAATGTTTAAAGTTTCTGTAACTCTACTTTTTAACAATTGTACTGTAAATGACCACTTTGGATTTTAAGATTTGTGCCGACATAGGTCTTTTACCTGCTGCACCACGTTGCCGGTTAGGGAGGCATGTTTCCCTTTAAATTGGCAAGATTAAATATTCTAAGCTAGCTTATCGTGTTTCATAGTAGCCGCTGTAAAGGTGGGGCAGTTTCACTTTTTTTTGTAAGCAAGACTCTTTTGGGTCGATGTATGACACCATTTTGTTGTAGACCTCTTCTGACATAACTCTGTTGTAGACTTCTTCTGAAACCACTTTTTTGTAGACCTCTTCTGACATCACTTTGTTGTAGACCTCTTCTGACATCACTTTGTTGTAGACCTCTTTTGATACCACTTTGTTGTAGACCTCTTCTGATACAACTTTCTTGTAGACCTCTTCTGATATAACCAGTGGCTGCGCCCAGCACCAAAAAAAAAAAATTTGGGTGGGGAGAGCAAATGGGGACAAGCCAAATTTTTTTGAGCAAAACAAAACATCTTATACTCACATGTAATTTTAAAGAGGCTAGTTATTCCCCCCACCATTTCCCCGAAATTTTAGCGTGCTAAATTACATTGAGCCAACGTTGGTTTTCAAAAGGTACTTTGTATTGAGTTTTGAAACCCCAAGCACTCACAGTCCTAGGAAAGGATTAACAGGTTTTTGATCATTCTAGCATATCCAGCATTTTTTTTTTGGGGGTGGGGAATAACAACTCCCTTTAAAAGTGGATTGATGAATAATGTTCTTTCCAGCGTTATTTAATTAAATAAATATTCATTTTCTGCAATAGTACCATTAGTATAAAAAGTGGGGTTAAAGGGAATATTTATTATTGTCGGACATATCTGGTTGACTTCTAGTATACAGGAAGAAAAATAAACATACCGTAAAACGGTGGTACGCGTGCGAATGTGTTTTCTTGTTATACACATTACGTTTGCTCTATGTATGATTATATGCAGGACTAAATTTTTGGGAGCAAACTGAGGGGACAAGAAAAAATGTTTATGGGTAAATGCTCCTCCGTTGCCTCTCTGTAGCGCCACCACTGGACATAACTATATTGTAGACCACTTCTGACACCACTTTATTACGATTGTTTTAACACCACTTCTAACACTATTACGCTTGTTTTAACACCACTTCTAACACTATTACGCTTGTTTTAACACCACTTTGTAGACCGCTTCTGTCACCACTTTATTACGATTATTTTAATACTACTCTGTAGACCGCTTTTGACATCCCTTTATTACGATTGTTTTAACACCACTTTATTGTAGACAGCTTCTGACACCACTTTATTACGATTATTTTAACATCACTTTATCGTAGACTGCTTCTGACATGACATTATTAAGATTGCTTTATTGTAGTCCGCTTCTGATGTCACTTTATTAGGATTATTTTAACACCAATTTGTTGTAGACCGCTTCTGACAGTACTTTATTACGATTGTTTTAACACCACATTGTTGTAGATCGTACTGTACTCGCACTTCACTTTCCCTTCAATATTATTAAGATTGTACTTATTTCTATTAGCAATTGATCCATAAGAAAGTTAAATATAAAAAGAAAATTCTGTTTATTACTATATTAATAATGCACAATTAAATTAGGCTTAGGATTCGTTTTGGTTCTTACTGGGAGCATATTTTCCTTCGTCTCTCTCTTTATTCGTTTGTTTTTTATAAATCGTTTTCCAAACCATGCCAAGCACACCTGTTTTCCTTATATCGGATTGAAACGTTTCATAATCATAGGGGATTTTGTAGTTCTCAAATCCTCTGAACCTAGAAAATCCGCTGCTCTTCCAATAATTATCTAACCGCTTGGTACTGTAATCTTTTCATCCCTTAGAGACACACCAAAAATAGGTCGCTTTATCACCTCTCTGAATCCAAACATGTTCTTATACCGAACTTCATAACAAGGACGAGTCTGCCATTTTAATTTGACTTCCAAAATGCACAAATCATACATAATGAAACCATTTTTTTATGGCTAACGGATCTTATGACACAACTTCACATACTGTGAAGTAAATCAAACTTTATTGTTACTTTTGAAAATTAATTCTTTGCAATGGAAACCTACGAAACTAAACAAATGAGATATAAACAGATAGAAAAAATAATAACACCTATTTTTGAAATTCGTTTTGTCCGAAACTAAATTAATTTGGTTATGTCACTTCTTCTCTGTAATAACCTTAATTCCAATTAATTTTGAGTCGGCTGGTATTTTTGTAAGCCAATAATTTTTACACCCGGGTGGTCGGCCCACACGGAAACCATACAGGACGACAACGTTCGGCGACAAAGATTGGAACTCGTGAATACCAGATTGGGAGTTAAGCGACCTAACAACTATGTCACTGATAAGTAAAAACATTCTCACAAGGTTTAACTTTTAATCTTATCGTAATTGTCAGGGCGTTTTTATATTTACGAGAAAAACTTAGCTGAAATAATAGTATGCTTACGATTAGGGAAAATATGAGGCAGTTTTGTTTGTGATAAGCGGTGTCTCAATCTAAATGTCAATGAAAAAAAAATTAAAAAGACAAACAGCCTTTATAGCACAAGAAATAACATTCATTCCAATTATTTTACGTTTGTTTGTTTGTTTTTAAGCGCCAAGCTGCTCAATGGGTTATCTGTGTTGTGACCAATGCAGGGATTGAACCCCCAATGATTAGCGTTATAGGCTTGAAAGCTGAACGCTGAGTTATCGGGGGTAAGTATTTTTTATGAAGAGACACCAACAGGAGTAAAATGTTATCATGTATTGCCTTGGAGCACTGAATCAGTTTTTGTTTCAGTAATCC